GTGATTTTTCACTTTTCGCGCATGTTTCCATGCCCACTTGAAAGGACATGATGCTTGTATGCGGTTTTGTACCGTATGTACAGCGGCAAAAAGCGTAACTACCGCAGCCGCTTTCGCGGAACACACGATGCAGCGGTCACACATACATTAAAGGCGCTTTCGATTATCAGGCGTGTACCAGCGTACATGCCAGCATTCACTCTGACTGTCGGGGTACCAGCGTACATGCCAGCAGTCACTTTGACTAGCGGGGTACCAGCGTACATGCCAGAAGTCACTTTGACTGGCGGGGTACCAGCGTACATGCCAGCACTTACTCTGACTGGCAGGGTATCAGCGTACATGCCAGCAGTCACTCTGACTGGCGGGGTATCATCGTTCATTCCAGCAGTCAGGCTGGCATTTCAACCCGGGTTGAGTTCGACCCGGGTCAGATTTCAACCCGCCATGTGCACAAAATGAATGGCGAGTTAACATGACGCATTGCGCTTGACCCGGGTTGAAATTTCGCCCCGGGTTGATTTCAACCCTCCCCCCAAGGGGAGGGTTGAAACCAACCCGGGTCAAGAAAATCGTACAAACGTACTTCTGTGCGTATCTCGCGCCAGGTTTGAACAGCACTGCGGATGCAAATTTCGCGCGAACGGATTCACGTGACCATGCAGGACTGTAGAAGTGGACTTTTGGCGGCATATCAGTATTTGACCCGGGTCAACTGTCTTCATGTAAACGCTCACTTCTTTTGTCTATCGTACAGACTTTCAACCCGGGCTGAACTCGACCCGGGTTGAAATTTCTCATGTAAATACAGCCTCACTCTGACTGGTGGGGTACAAGCCTACATGCCAGCAGTCACTTTGACTAGCGGGGTACCAGCGTACATGCCAGCAGTCACTCTGACTGGCGGGGTACCAGCGTACATGCCAGCAGTCACTCTGACTGGCGGGGTACGAGCGTACATGCCAGCAGTCACTCTGACTGGCGGAGTACCAGCATGCATGCCAGCAGTCACTCTGACTGGCGGGGTACCAGCGTACATGCCAGCAGTCACTCTGACTGGCGGGGTACCAGCGTACAGGCCAGCAGTCACTCTGACTGGCGGGGTACCAGCGTACATGCCAGCAGTCAATTTGACTGGCGGGGTACCAGCGTACATGCCAGCAGTCACTCTGACTGGCGGGGTACCAGCGTACATGCCAGCAGTCACTCTGACTGGCGGGGTATCAGCGTACATGCCAGCAGTCACTCTGACTGGCGGGGTACCAGCGTACATGCCAGTAGTCACTCTGACTGGCGGGGTAGAGGGGACGGCTCGATACCGGGACGCTTTGACAGCCAAATTTGTATAGACGCAAACCGATCATCAGCGTTGATTTTTCACTCGAAAAATGTTTGTGGAAGGAAACTGGCATGTTGAAGTTTGTTCTGGGGCCAGAGTCAATCGAACTGAGCCAGTCCTTTGTGTTGACCCATTGCCTCCAAGTTGCCCAATTTTTCGCTTCAAAAAAGTTCAAATCAGAGGTGGCTCCAAACCGGACACGATTTAGAGTGCACGCCAAATTCACTCTGGGTCTGAAATTAGGTAATTGCTATCGCTCCATGAGGGCCAGTACAGAGTAACAATAAGCCTTGTTTGTGCTTCCATTAGTTTTGATTGGTATGCGGTGCTTTATTGGCGAGAGGCGAGCCGCTGTTTACCTGCGACAAGAAGTTGATTTTTCGAAAGTCGCAGTGCGAAGCAACACGTCAAAAACTCACCTGCTTGATATGGCGCTTCTGGTCATCGCAGAGACATGAAATTTTGGCTCGGAGTATAACACATCCTAGTCTCACTGACATATTATGTTTTCTAATCAAAATACCAAGGGAGAAAGTAAATATTGAGTCAGTTCCGGTTTGCAACCTGTGTCCTATTTGAATCCGTCCCCTCTACCAGCGTACATGCCAGCAGTCACTTTGACTGGCGGGGTACCAGCGTACATGCCAGCAGTCACTCTGACTGGCGGGGTACCAGCGTACATGCCAGCAGTCACTCTGACTGGCGGGGTACCAGCATACATGCCAGCAGTCACTCTGACTGGCGGGGTACCAGCGTACATGCCAGCAGTCACTTTGACTGGCGGGGTACCAGCGTACATGCCAGCAGTTACTCTGACTGGCGGGGTACCAGCGTACATGCCAGTCACTCTGACTGGCGGGGTACCAGCGTACATGCCAGCAGTCACTCTTACTGGCGGGGTACCAGCGTACATGCCAGCAGTCACTCTGACTGGCGGGGTATCAGCGTACATGCCAGCAGTCACTCTGACTGGCGGGGTACCAGCGTACATGCCAGCAGTCACTCTGACTGGCGGGGTACCAGCGTACATGCCAGCAGTCACTTTGACTGGCGGGGTACCGGCGTACATGCCAGCAGTCACTCTGACTGGCGGGGTATCAGCTTACATGCCAGCAGTCACTCTGACTGGCGGGGTATCAGCGTACATGCCAGCAGTCACTCTGACTGGTGGGGTACCAGCGTACATGCCAGCAGTCACTCTGACTGGCGGTGTACCAGCGTACATGCCAGCATCCACTTTGACTAGCGGGGTACCAGCGTACATGCCAGCAGTCACTCTGACTGGAAGGGTACCAGCGTACATGCCAGCAGTCCCTTTGACTGCCGGGGTACCAGCGTACACGCCAGCAGTCACTTTGACTGGCGGGGTCCAAACATTGGTACTCGAAGGTGTCGCTAAACACGCTAAATACGACTCGGATTGCTTTTTTTTGTGAAAGGCTTAGTGCGCATCTGAGCACGCATGAACTGCAAGCGTATCGCGTCAACGTGCCAGTTGTGAACACAGCTTAAGCTTCAATTTGTGGCCTCCTGCTTTGCTGCAATTGCGGCTGGGTTCGACGTCCTCACCAAGATTTGAGGCGGACCCTTCAGTGCTCAACAAAACGCTGAACAAGAAGCGTATTCAAATTCAGGTCATGAAACTTTGTTTTCAAGCAATGGATGCCTGCAGGTGTCAGGCGATGACGTCATACTAGCATTTTTACATTAGATTATAATGACCAGCAGTAGTAGCAGCAGCAGCAGAGAGATAGGGTAAGCAGTTCAGCACCTTCTGTCCTTGACAAGCACTGCGCTCATGTTGTTGCTGTTTTCAGGCCTGCTACCTTCGAAGCAACATGCACCACAGGCAGCGCATTTCAGGAATTTGAGAACACTTTGTTCTTGCAAACCTCAACTTCAGCATGCCAAATTCAAGAGATAACAATACACCAGGATTCATATCCCTTTGTTTGCAAAAAAATCACGGTTTGCGTCAGACTCGGCTAGAGGGCGAGTTTTCCGCATCCGCATGAACACCACCACCCTTCAAGGATCAAGGCGCAGATGCAGCTCCTAAAGCGGTGGGAGGGAATGTGGGCCGGTAAGAACTACAGAAAAAAGATTCGCACTCTGGGCGAAATATTGCGGAACCCGAAGAATTTGTTTGATGCGGAAGAGAGCTCCAAGACCACAACGGCTTTCGTAACAATTGCGTGGGAAGGGTCATACCAATGTTCGTACACAGAAAACAGTGATTCCGACAGCCTGACTAAGACCATCAAGTCACAAACATTGCGAGGTGCGAAGCGACAATTGTAATGACAAGTCGCCAGTTTCTATATTTTTGTTATTCAAACTGATAGAAACGTCTTTGCGATACAGAATCCGCTCCCGAAAATAAGATTTTTTAAGGTGGACATGTCCCTCAGACCCCCTCTTTCTCTTCGCCTCCTTTCGGTCATACAACTTTTTAGAACCTGGTGGCGCACCAGCAAAGTGATCTGTCAGGGATTTGGACTGCCCTGACAAGATAACAAAATGCAAACCCCAACAGGACTGGAACCTGCGACCTCGCTTGTCATGAGCATAGCTCTAACCATCTAAGCTATGGCACTGAGCAGAACCTAGAAAGCGCTGACAACTTTTTCACTAAAATTTTAGCTCAAAGAAACTTTCCAATTAATTTTGTTTTTCTCGTGAATGGTCACCGTTTCCGGTTGGAAGAAGTCCTTCCTTTGGAATTTGACGAAATTATTCATCGACTACTATTAATTTTCTCTGCCTGTAAAGCACACGGATTGAGAGTGAGTGGATATTCCAGCAGCCGAAATACCTTCGCGTTTGAATTGCCGTTACTGCGCTTCACTATGAACAATACAACACCATGGGGACAAATGTGAGCACACGACACGGAGTACTGTAGAGGGGACGGTCCCAAATAGGACATAGGTTGCAAACCGGAACGGACTCAATATTCACTTTCTCTCTTGGTATTTTGATTAGAAAACATATGTCACAGTGAGACTACGATGTGTTATACTCCGAGCCAAAATTTCATGGCTCTGCGATGACCAGAAGCGCCATACCAAGCAGCTGAGTTTTTGACGTGTTGCTTCGCACTGCGACTTGAATTTTACGACTTTCGAAAAATCAACTTCTTGTCGCAGGTAAACAGCGGCTCGCCTCTCGCCAATAAAGCACCGCATACCAATCAAAACTAATGGAAGCACACACAAGGCTTATTGTTACTCTGTACTGGCCCTCATGGAGCGATAGCAATTACCTAATTTCAGACCCAGAGTGAATTTGACGTGCACTCTAAAACGTGTCCGGTTTGGAGCCACCTCTGATTTGAACATTTTTGAAGCGAAAAATTGGGCAACTTGGAGGCAATGGGTCAACACAAAGGAGTGGCTCAGTTCGATTGACTCTGGCCCCAGAGCAAACTTCAACATGCCAGCTTCCTTCCACAAACATATTTCGAGTGATAAATCAACGCTGATGATCGGTTTGGGTCTATACAAATTTGGCTGTCAAAGCGTCCCGGTATCGAGCCGTCCCCTCTACATCAGCAGAAGCCTTTCCCAATTATATATCGTTACGGGTTAGGTCTGCTGTACTACTAGAACTCCGCGCACACCTTCAGTGAAATATTGGGGACTGAATGGGAGATGCTTACCTGGCTTCAAGCAAGGGAGAATCACCTGCTCCCGAAAGCGGCCGGATGGTTCCTGTCCGGCGTCCGCTATTCTGGTAGTAGTCCCACAAATCTAAACGCCACCTGCCGATTGGCAGATAACGAACGAAAGCGCTTCAATTCCGCAACCAGATTGCGACGGAGCGTCACTGAAACTCCCAGAAAATAACAATATGAAGGGCCGCAAGTAGAACACGCATCCGCCCAGAACACCTGCAGACGGCAACGAGCAAGAAAAAATGATTCCGCATTCAACTGAAGCGCGGACGGTGCAGCAGTCCAAGATCCTATCTACACGTTCGCTCCACGCTCCAGCGGCCAGAGCTCTGTGGCTTCATTCATCTGTCTGATCTGACAAAAGTTGTAGATTTACTCGTAGATTATGTACATGACTGTACAACATGACATCAGATTCTACTGCCTGCTCTACACTACAAAAGTACAGTGCGTCTTTGTGGTCCACTTCACAACAATAACACACACAGAAGTCTCTGCTGTGAGCACGGTGGCTCGGCAATGTCGAAGTAAAGGCGTTACCCACAAAGACACAAGCTTTCCAACTCTCTTTGGCCGTTGGAAAGCGTACCTGCTCGTGTAGATCGACACGTACTAGTACGAGTAGGTCTAAAATCTTTGCCGGCCCATCTTTCCGCTGATACCACGCCAACTCCGAAATGAAGCCGGCTGTCAACTGTGTCGCCAGAGGCGGACTACAGTAGCTGTTCAAGTGTCATCAACATAAGTTGTTCAACGTTGATGGGTTACTATCGCCGTCGGGTGTCTCTCGCGCTGCTACGTTCCGCTGTGTTGTGTGTCAGGTAGGCCTCCGCGGAATATGCTCGTATTTTTACCGATAATTCCTTTGAGCATTGCTCAAAATTTCGACCGATTATTCCCGTAATTCCACCAATAATTCTCATAATGCTTTTTTCTTCCATTTTTGCAGATACCGTACCGCGTACGGGTTTTTTTGCGACTTGTACTGGCAAAAAAATCACGGTTCGCGTGAAACTCGGCTGGAAGCTTTTTTCTTCTTTCTTTTTTGAAATACCGGGTGATCAACTTCAGGATCACAAGCTTTTTGGTACAAATCAGGGTGTTATAAATGGAAAAAATTGAAAAAAAGGGGGGCATTGCTCAAATTTTACTGATTATTCCACAAAACTTGCCAATAATTCCCGTTTTAAAAATCACACCGATAATTCCCGAAATTATGCCGGGACATTCCGCGGAGGCCTAGTGTCAGGGGTGCTCCGTCCGCCCGTCATCGTCCAGTTTACATGCTTCGTGAGTTGGCGATGGTGGAGGGTCGGGTATCCCTGCCGTGATTGGTGCTGCACCGAGCTTGTTTTGTGTGAAAGTTTAACTATTATTTTTATTCTTATATCTATACTTCATACTTCAAGTATTACAAAAATTGAGAGGCTTTGAACCGTTTTTATCAAAATCTAAATATTTGCCGGGTTGGAAGGTGGGAATCAAAGCTGTTCAAGTGTCATCAGTGAGCGATGTCGCCTGTACAGTGCACTATATTATGATTATGTAGACGCTAGGCTTGTCTTGATCGGTTTGCACATAAAATGGATATCAGTTATCCAACATAATCAGTTATCCAACATGCCTGATTCCCGAAGTGGTCGGATAAGTGACATTCGACTGTACATGTAACATTTTGTTTTTTCTGGTCAATGGTCAACGGTTCCGATTGGAAGGAGTCCTTTCTTTGGAATTTGACGAAATTATTCATCGACTAATTTTCTCTGCTTGCAAAGCACACGGATTGAGAGTGAGTAGGTACTGCAGCAGCCGAAAAACCTTCGCGTTTGAATTGCCGTTGCAGCGCTTCACTACGAACAATACAATACCATGCGGACAAATGTGAGCACACGACACGGAGTACTGTACATCAGCAGAAGCCTTTTCCAATAAATCGTTACGGGTTAGGGCTGCAGTACTACTAGAACTCAGCGCACACCTTCAGTGAAATGTTGGGGACTGAATGGGAGATGCTTACCTGACTTCAAGCAAGGGAGAAGCACCTGCTCCCGAAAGCGGCCGGGTGGTTCCTGTCCGGCGTCTGCTATTCTGGTAACGTTGACCCGGACGATTGGTAGTCCCACAAATCTAAACGCCACCTGCCGATGGGCAGGTAACGAACGAAAGCGCTTCACTTCCGCAACCAGATTCCGACAGAGCGTCACTCGAACTCCCAGAAAATAACAATATGAAGGGCCGCAAGCAGAACACGCATCCGCCCAGAACACCCACAGACGGCAACGAGCAAGAAAAAAAGATTCCGCATTGAACTGAAGCGCGGACGGTGCAGCAGTCCAAGATCCTCTCTACACCGTACACGTTCACTGTACGCTCCAGCGGCCAGAGCTCTGTGGCTTCATTCATCTGTCTGATCTGGCAAAAGTTGTAGATTTACGCGTAGATTATGTACATGACTGTACAACATGACATCAGATTCTACTGCCTGCTCCACACTACAAAACTGTACAGTGCTGCTCGTGTATATCCATATGTAGGTCTACATAATCATTGCGGGCCGATCTTTCTGCTGACGCTCTCACACCAACTCCGAAATGAAGCCGACAGTCTGTGTCGCCAGAGCAGAGGCGGTTTAGCTGTTCAAGTGTCATCACATGCAACAGTGCTAGTGAGCGATGTCGCCTGTACTAAAGATTATGTAGACCATACAATAGGCCTGTTTGTTCACCCACGTACACGTCACGTGGTACACAGCCGGGCTAGATCGATTATGCAAGGCATGCCAGGGTAGAGGAAATGAGATCCTTTTTTTACAGGCAGTAGCTACCAGTGAGTAGTAAAATACGTACATATATTTACTACTCCCTGGTAGTGGTAGCTACAGCCAAGGCAAAGTCAAAGGCGTAAAAAGGCTGGCGGCATCCACAGCAGCACTCTACAAAACACATCATCACCAGGCATGCATGTACTGTGGATATGGAAATCCGGTCGCACGTCTAGCGGCCCCAGGGCGCTGGCCATGCAGCCATTGCATGCATTATTACGCGCTGCTGCTGGTCGCATCGTATCAACATGTGCGCTGCATGCAACGACGACGTTCTGTACGCGCAGAGGAAGCCGGCCCTGGTCAATCGACTGGATTTCCATGTCCGCGACAGTATATTGTAAAGAAATTGTAGAGAATGCAAATGCAGCACGTCCTATGAAATTTTAGATGTTCTTGTCCGAGTTGAAGCGACCTTACGTTGTACAAGTAGAGCTATCGTGGATCGCTGACAGGCCGCTGATAGTCCATCGGCCAAATCTCAGAAAGGGCCTCTTTCGGCGAAGGTGATGCACTGAAGCTCCAACTAAACGCCCTTTGGCACACTAGCTCATGAGACCCCATAGAATACGAATCCGTTTGTTGGACGTTGCCAATCCAGTCCAGGATAGTCGAACTGGGTCGAATACCTTCTTCCGATTTTCGTAATTTCGTCCACCATTACATCTTTCTCGTCGACTTTTTTTCGCTTGGCGAATGTTCTTGAGCCGCTGAGCAGAATCTACGCACGCTCGAACACTTGAAATGCCTGCATGTTGACGGTTCGCAAGATTCTAGCGAGCTTGGTGGAAAACTATTATTTATTTTGACATTTTTGGGGGAATCTGAATTAGAACGGTAGAAGCTCATTCGGAGAAGACGGCGTGTCGCCGCTGTCGGATTGTCGCTACTGTGTTTCAATCGTATTTGCTTGAACGTGCTATTGAGGATGGACAGAAGATGAAGTGACGGCTTTCTTGAACACGGACGTTTTGTCTACATTGTAGCTGAAACATCTCATCTGGCGTCTAGAACGCAATTATTATGAGTTGTGAGTGCCAGCTGAGCTGAACACAAGCTGGACACCATTCGTCAGCTGGGAATTTGCATCGAAGCTCTTGATAGCCACGATAAGCATAATTATACAGAGGTAACCTTGTTTGACTCAATACGCATGCAGGTGATACCACTAGTGGCACTACAATGTAAATGGTGCAAAATTGATGCAACAGCGAATATGTACTTCGTACAATCACGAACAATTGTAAGGCAAGTGTTCATGCCTGTCATAGAAGAATTTCAGCCCGGAAGTCTTGTTGTCATGGTCATAAATAATACAGGACTTGAGTTGGCTCTGGACATAAACACACTTGTGGTGAATACGGTCATTATTGCGAGAAAAATATTTAGCCATTGTATGTTAACACCTGATGCTGCACTACAAGCAATATTTCATGTACATGTATGTGAGACTCAATTGCATCCACAAGGCCGTAGATGCATGTAAGCACACAATGCTGTACAGTATAAGTAGTAGTCGACATGTGGTGCCTTCCTGCTGCACATGCACATGCGGCAAGTTGGCAACGACACATGACCTATCTGCACCGCACAGCGTGAGCTTAGAAAGGAATATTGCACACATAGTGCTATTTGTGTTCCGATATCATTAAGCCGGTATACATGTACTAGTATCCTTATACATGTACCTGGTCACTCGATAGGCGATGCCGACTGTACTAATCTTATCCATATTACCCGATAGGCTATAGCACACTGCGTCAGATCACTATGCAACAAAACAAGAGCTTTGGAGAGAATATACACTGAAGCAAAGTAGGTTTCAACGGTACAGCACTAGTCACGATGAGGGGAGTTACGAGGATGGTTAGGCCGTGACACATAGATGATGATTGTTAATGATTCATGCACGGTGGAAAATTACCACCAATGGCGATGATATTGCTTTCACAACAATGACATCAGTAGGAGCAGTGACACAACCTTCAGGGGCGGATCCAGGAATTTTTCAGGGGGGGTTCAAATTTTTTCGAGTGCACAGAATTAAATTCGCTTCAAACTGTTTTCGGTTCGTTCACTACACCGGGAGTTGCAAAATCTTTATTGTCACGGTAGCCCTTGCATTGCTTGGCCAATAAGACAAGGGTAATGCGTTTAGAGCCTTACAAAGTACAAAGCTGCAGCACAGGCAGAAACTAAGGCCGTGACTGCAGCATTTTCCGAACTGACGGAAGGCGAAGTTCTCTGACTGTTCTCCGGCTGGGACTCCGTGTCGTCACATTCGCGCCGTACATGGCGGAACGAAGCCAAGCTCAATGGCAACTGATCGGCCGCTCGCCTCTTTGGCAGACGTCGCGACATGGCAAACTACACGACAAACACAAACATTTTCTTCGTACTGCGACGGAGGAAACCTACAGTCCAGCCAGCGCGAAATAAAACAAAACGACAAGGAAGGTAAGGAGGACAAGTGGCAGTTTCTCCACCTTTTGCTCCACCGCGACATGGCAAACTAACGACAAAAACACAAACATTATCTTCGTACTGCGACGGAGGAAACCTACAGTCCAGCTAGCGCGAAATAAAACAAAACGACAAGGAAGGTAAGGAGGACAAGACTAGTGGCAGTTTCTCCACCTTTTGCTCCACCGCGACATGGCAAACTACACGACAAAAACACAAACATTATCTTCGTACTGCGACGGAGGAAACCTACACTACAGTCCAGCCAGCGCGAAATAAAACAAAACGACAAAGAAGGAGGACAAGTGGCAGTTTTTCCTCCTTTTAGTTTTGCTCCACCACTTGAACTGTCGATCGTTTCAAGTCACATGATACGCGTACAGACCCTTCGATTCGAACGGTACGCGTACAACAGTCCCGACCACTGCATGCATGCAGTGACCTACAATGTACGTACCTTTTCGATTTTGACAGCATGTTACAAGGCGAGGACGCGTAGTGCTCCTGACTACAACGACGTATGTTACGTACGTACCTGCACTGCCTGTACTTGACTACTGCATGCAGGATTGCCAGTGTCAGTGAAGTCTACTGCAGTCTGCAGTACTGGCTACGCTACATGCACGCTACACTAACTTCGCTGGCTGCGCACGTGGAGATCACAAAAAAATCGACTGGACCCATGGTCGAAATTATTTTAGGGGGTTCGTCCGAACCCCCTGAACCCCCCCTGTATCCGCCCCTGACCTTACTGCTCCAAGTAGAATTTACAAGCGAGTGAAGGGAGAGCAGACTGGTCTAATAGCAGACCGGGTCTAAGCAAGGAAGTAATCGGCATCAGAGGTGAGCTTGCACATCAGAAAACAGATGATGATCACCAAACACAGAGAAGTTGGCTATGTGTATGTTTGTGTCACTGTGTGTGCATGTGTGTGTGTGTGTGTGTGTGTGTGTGTGTGTGTGTGTGTGTGCATGTGTGTTTGTGTGTATGCGCGCACATCTGTGTGTGAGAGAGAGGCAGACAGACAGATAGTATATGGTGGGAGGGATCAAGGTCTGACCTCAGAGTTAAATGCTGACGTTGTGGAATAGCAACAGTGCGAAATCGGGCAGGGTGGTTAATGGCCCATACTGGAGCCGAGTAGGAGCGCCAGTGGTTGAGGGCTAGCACAGGAGTAGCAGCAGCTCCAGCCTAGGAAGATCAGCTTCTGGATGAAAATCTCCCGGACACAGTAGTTACCAAGCTTCACTAGCAGATTGCCGGCAGGGGTGCACGGCGAGCACCCGTACATCCATCAAGCCACCAGAGCCGCAGTACTTGGACACGATCCAGGTGCTTACCCGCCAACAATGCTGAGAAGGCACTGGAGCCATACAGGAACTTATGATCGAGCATGACCACAGACTTGAAATACAGGGTCCGGCGTTGAATACTGAGACAGCGACATCTCCTCCACAGAACACCACTCAGCCCCACCATTGCATTATTTTCGCTTTTTCATGATTTTTACAATTGTGTTTAAATCGAGCACACAGCACTCGATGCAACATTTACCAGTGACTAAATAACTCCGCGTCTCCGACCATAACTGCAGCGTTCCCGTGAGCCTGTTGGATTTCCATCAGCCTGTTGAGATTATCTTCATCTCGTCGCATGTGAGCCTGTGTGTTTCATCCGTATCGTGGCACAATTACACACACACGATTTCCAACTCAGGCCGGTTCCGTTGCTCGAAGGGTTGGCGGTAAGAATTGCTACGCCGTCTGTGGCTGCATGGGAACTTGGCGAGTCGTCGTCTTTCTCCATAAATCCTGATCGTCACGCGAACAACAGCCACTATTGCCTAAAAACTACGACACAACAGTATCAACCTCGCCCCAGCAGAAGGACACGAATGACGAGCGCTAAGACGGAGAAAGAGAGACAGGGTTAGCGAGAGCTGACTAGTGCAGGTGCGCTGTCATCTCCTGAGGTGGTGGGCGAAGCAGTGAAGTGAAACGAAGGAAGATAGAAGGCATACGGAGGCACCAAAACCTATTGCCTGTCACATACTAAGTGCCATTAAGGGTTGACAGCTGTCAGCTGACAGCCTCAAAAATTTGAAAATCTGCTCAAAAAACTCTCGATCAGAACTCTGCGCACTCTCAAATGGAGCGCACAGTAAAAAACTCGGCGACGAAGAACGCTTCGTATCGACGCCCTGGACTGAATAGTGTTCTCTGATATATTCTCTACGTGCTGGGTATGGTCGCGTTTAGTTGGAAGCTCAGTGCATCACCACTTTCGATTTTGAGACTTGGCCGATGGACTATGAATGTCTCCTGTCAAGTACACTCGTGGATTTGGGGCGCATTCACTGCGGCCCAGTACAGGTGTATTGGAATATTACTAGTTTGGTTTACATCAATATCAAATTCAAAATAGTTGTATAGCAGGGTGTCGTTGCCTCCTACTTGTCCGAGTTGAAGCGACCTTCGCTTGTACAAGTAGAGCTATCGTGATCGCTGACAGGCTGCTGAATGTCTCCTGTCAAGTACACTCGTGGATTTGGGGCACATTCACTGCGGCCCAGCACGGGTGTATTTGATTAGTTTAGTTTACATCAATATCAAATTCAAATAGTTTTATAGCAGGGTGTCGTTGCCTCCTCCATGATCCATCATCGACCCAGCAACTGCGTGGATGCCTGCAGTTGCAGTGATGGTGTGGCAGAGTACTCTACTACTCCCTGTTTGCAGTCCTAGTGTTGCATACTCTGGTGGACGTACTATTGCTTGGAGAGAGAAGGAGAAAGTTGGAGATCGTCCGCGATCGGGGCCAATGAGTTGGGAGACGGATTCCCTCACCAATTATCCACTCATAACGATGCAGTATTGTTTGCGAGATCTCCAGAACGTACAGTTCATTGGCAAACAAGAACAATATGAAAACTGAATACCAAACGGCAACCAAACACACCAGAACTCAGTGCAAAAAGTAGCACACCAAACTCCAAATCTGATCACCATGCAGGTTCCGCCAAAGCGGATCCGCGAAAGCGGAGGCTCCGCTCGCATTTTTTTGGCGTAGCGAAATCCAAACTTTCCGCCAAAGCGTAACTTACGCCTCCGCCGCTGCCGAGACAACGGCGGAAGCGTAAGTTACGCTTTGGCGGAACCGCCAAAAAAAGTGCATGTGTGACCGGGGCCTACACGAACCGCCAAAAAAGTGCATGTGTGACCGGGGCCTAAGGCCGCGGTCACACATGAAAAGCTTACACCGCTTTTGCGGAGGCGGAAAGCGGAACTACCGCAGCCGCTTTGGCGGACCACACGATGCAACGGTCACACATACATGTACTGCTACTGTGCTCCTCAACGCTCCGCTTTGGCGGAGAGAATGCAAATACAGCACGTCCTAAGAAATTTTAGATGTTCTTGTCCGAGTTGAAGCGACCTTCGCTTGTACAAGTAGAGCTATCGTGGATCGCTGACAGGCTGCTGAATGTCTCCTGTCAAGTACACTCGTGGATTTGGGGCACATTCACTGCGGCCCAGCACGGGTGTATTTGAATATTAGTTTAGTTTACATCAATATCAAATTCGAATAGTTTTATAGCAGGGTGTCGTTGCCTCCTCCATGATCCATCATCGACCCAGCGACTGCGTGGATGCCTGCAGTTGCAGTGAGGGTGTGGCAGAGTATTCTACTACTCCCTGGTTGCAGTCCTAGTGTTGCATACTCTGGTGGACGTATTGCTTGGAGAGAGTTGGAGATCGTCCGCGATCGGGGCCAATGAGTTGGGAGACGGATTCCCTCACCCATTATCCACTCATAACGATCCAGTATTGTTTGCGAGACCTCCAGAACGTACAGTTCATTGGCAAAGAAGAACAATATCAAAACTGAATACCAAACGGCAACCGGCCAAACAACACCAGAACTCAGTGCAGAAGTAGCACACCAAACTCCAAAGCCATCACCATGCAGGTTCCGCCAAAGCGGATCCTCGAAAGCGGAGGCTCCGCTCGCATTTTTTGGCGTAGCGAAATCCAAACTTTCCGCCAAAGCGTAACTTACGCCTCCGCCGTTGCCGAGGCAACGGCGGAAGCGTAAGTTACGCTTTGGCGGAACCGCCAAAAAAAGTGCATGTGTGACCGGGGCCTAAGGCCCCGGTCACACATGCACTTTTTTTAGGCCCCGGTCACACATGCACTTTTTTTGGCGGTTCCGCCAAAGCGTAACTTACGCTTCCGCCGTTGCCTCGGCAACGGCGGAGGCGTAAGTTACGCTTTGGCGGAAAGTTTGGATTTCGCTACGCCAAAAAATGCGAGCGGAGCCTCCGCTTTGGCGGAACCTGCATGGTGATGGCTTTGGAGTTTGGTGTGCTACTTCTGCACTGAGTTCTGGTGTTGTTTGATTGCCGTTTGGTATTCAGTTTTCATATTGTTCTTCTTTGCCAATGAACTATACGTTCTGGAGATCTCGCAAACAATACTGCATCGTTATGAGTGGATAGTTGGTGAGGGAATCCGTCTCCCAACTCATTGGCCCCGATCGCGGACGATCTCCAACTCTCTCCTTCTCTCTCCAAGCAATACGTCCACCAGAGTATGCAACACTAGGACTGCAACCAGGGAGTAGTAGAGTACTCTGCCACACCCTCACTGCAACTGAAGGCATGTACGCAGTCGCTGGGTCGATGATGGATCATGGAGGAGGCAACGACACCCTGCTATATAACTATTTGAATTTGATATTACGAAGTAGTGGTTGCGACCTCGGCGATGATTTGTAAGAAAAGGGTTTGCTCCCCACACTGGAGCTCGCGCTAGTCAAGTGTCAAGTAAAGTCGGCTGAATTTGATATTGTAAACTAAACTAATATTCAATACACCCGTGCTGGGCCGCAGTGAATGTGCCCCAAATCCACAAGTGTACTTGACAGGAGACATTCAGCAGCCTGTCAGCGATCCAAGATAGCTCTACTTGCATGCTTGTACAAGCGAAGGTCGCTTCAACTCGGACAAGAAGGAGGCAACGACACCCTGCTATACAACTATTTGAATTTGATATTGATGTAAACCAAACTAGTAATATTCAAATACACCTGTACTGGGCCGCAGTGAATGCGCCCCAAACCCACGAGTGTACTTGACAGGAGACATTCAGCAGCCTGTCAGCGATCCACGATAGCTCTACTTGTACAAGCGAAGGTCGCTTCAACTCGGACAAGAACATCCAAAAATTTCATAGGACGTGCTGCATTTGCATTCTCTCCGCCAAAGCGGAGCGTTGAGGAGCACAGTAGTCTTAAATGTATGTGTGATCGCTGCATCGTGTGGTCCGCCAAAGCGGCTGCGGTAGTTCCGCTTTCCGCCTCCGCAAAAGCGGTGCAAGCTTTTCATGTGTGAAAGCGGCCTAAACTACTGTGCTCCTCAAATGCGGCACGTCCTGTGGAATTTTAGATGTTCTTTAAGATTTTCCGAGTTGAAGCGACCTTTGCTTGTACAAGTAGAGCTATCGTGGATCGCTGACAGGCTGCTGAATGTCTCCTGTCAAGTGCACCCGTGGATTTGGGGGCACATTCACTGCCTCCCAGTACGAGTGTATTTGAATTATTAGTTTAGTTTACATCAATATCAAAATTTATTATAGTTGTATAGCAGGGTGTCGTTGCCTCCGAGTCCCCCATGATCCATCATCGACCCAGCGACTGCGTGGATGCCGGCAGTTGCAGTGAAGGTGTGGCAGAGTACTCTACTACTCCCTGGTTGCAGTCCTAGTGTTGCATACTCTGGTGGAAGTATTGCTTGGAGTGAGAAGGAGAGAGTTGGAGATCGTCCGCGATCGGGGCCAATGAGTTGGGAGACGGATTCCCTCACCAACTATCCACTCATAACGATGCAGTATTGTTTGCGAGATCTTCAGAACGTACAGTTCATTGGCAAAGAAGAACAATATGAAAACTGAATACCAAACGGCAACCAAACACACCAGAACTGAGTACAGAAGAAGCACACCAAACTCCAAAGCCATCACCATGCAGGTTCCGCCAAAGCGGATCTGCGAAAGCGGAGGTTCCGCTCGCATTTTTTGGCTAGTGAAATCCAAACTTTGCGCCAAAGCGTGACTTACGCTTTATCGGAACCGCCAAAAAAAGTGCAAGTGTGACCGGGGCCATAGCGGAGGCAAAAAGCGTAACTACCGCAGCCGCTTTCGCGGAACACACGATGCAGCGGTCACACATACATAATTATAGGGCGCTTTCGATCACACGCATTTCCGTCAATTCTAGAATTAGATATTGTTGATGCACGGTTCGATTACACAAAAAGTGACAAATTCCGTCGTTAGAATTGATTTTTTTCCAATTCCGTCAATTCTGAAGAGAGGGCAGAATTTCTCTAATTCTGGCGCCAGAATTGCACACTCGGTGTGTTACCGGTCTGGTCATGTGTCGTATCCGGTCGGCCCGGGGTTACACGGCCCCAAGGCTGCGGTCGTCGACATAACTAACTTACTTAACCTTCTTCTTAAAAGGCCGTGCAGTGGTGACCACTTGGAGAGAGAGTCCACCAACAAAATTACTCTTACGCACGCACGCACATATACCTAGACATACTCTCACACACACACACACTCAGGCATAATTATACAGACACGTACACTCACACTACCGTTCAGGTTTACTCACATCTTCAACGAAGGTAACTTAGTTCAAGAGATGATATGAGAGCACAAGGCAAGAGAGACGAAAGCCGAAGCTTCCGCCTGTAGGCGGAAGGCAAGAGAGAGAGAGAGAGAGAGACAGACAGACAGACAGACAGACAGACAGACAGACAGACAGACAGACAGACAGAAAGACAGACAGACAGACAGACAGAGAGAGAGAAATAGAGAGAGAGAAAGCCGATTGCCATAATATCTAACTACGGGCAGGAGGCTGATCCCCCCCGTACGAACTATAGGACAATTAACGAACCATAGTACAACCGCATGCCGCAGTGTACCAAAACTCAGCAATAATGTGTATAAACAGTATCACAAAGAGCGGAAGCCAGCTAAGGAAAAAACAGGGTATAACAACTAAGGAAGGCGCCAGGCTTTGTGTTAAGACATAAAATAAAGGTGATTAGGAACCAGTTTACGGGAGATAAATAAATAATTAGACACCTAAATAAGGCAGATTTGTCACGTAGAGGCCTAAAAGGCACGTGTCAATAGTATGGATACGACATATCCCCCGCTTACACGGAAAAGAACATGTCCTCGTGTTATAAGTAACTTAATAAATTAGACTAAGATTATGGGTAACAATTTAGACTAAACGAGTGCAGGTCAAATTGGAGTCCTAACCAAAATTGTTCCAAAACTAACTGTAGTATCGAACACAACTAATCCAGTCAAAACCACTGAAGTCACTTACTCGTGCCACACAGGACTCCCAAACAGCTGGGGTGGATGGCGGAAATGCAGGGTTCGCCTTTCCATCACGCCAACTGGCGGAGCACTGTCAAATACCCGAGCGGTGTCCTCCTCGTCTCGGGCGGCGGTGGTTGTCCGTTGGCACCAATTGACTTCGGGCCTTGGTCAGAGGTTTCCTTTTCCAGCTCCTTAGGTAGGCGGTCGGCAAAATCCTCTGACAATGTAGCGGCGGATCCTGTATCAATCACAGCGTTTACTGGACATCCATTCACCACTCCAGGCACCAACATGTACGCACGCTCACTCGCATGTTCAAAGAAGACCGAACACATAGATCAGGTTATTGTTTTCTGTCGCAGTCTAAGTTTTGCAGATACTGACTTCAACCCCAGGGTTCCAGTTCCCGGGAAAATCTACAAAAGCAGATGCAAACGACCTCCCGTCATTTACAGCATAGCCTTGAAGCTGTACTCTTCGTTAATAATGACAACTCTCGGAGAAAGTACTCCGACAGATTGAGAATCCGCAGAAAAGGGCACTAGACTAGATCCATTTCGTCGCTAAAGAGCAGTAAAAACCGTACTCTTCTGCTCTGCTGTTAATCCACTGGGTGATTTCTCTGACAATTTCCCAGGAAATCGGGCATACTCCTCCAGCTCATAAAGTTCCAATGGGTCCCTCGGGATCATTGTGTTTTGAACCATATGTTGGGGTCTCTACGTTACACTCTTCTGCTCTGCTCTTAATCCTCTGGGTGGTTTCTCTGACAATTTTCCAGGGCATGGGGCATACCTCTCCAGCTCATAAAGTTCCAATGGGTCCCTTGGGATCATTGTGTTTTGAACCATGTTGGGGGTCTCGACGCCCAGAGCTTGGAAGATAATCAATCAGGCTTCCGGTAAATTTCCGGGCATGGTCATCGCAGAATTAGAACTATCCGAACTAAAGAGTGGTAATACCATCAGCTATATCCCAGAGGCTAATCCATAATTTTTTCTTGTATTATATATATAAAGAAACTTTGATTGAGACATAAGTAATTTTCAGCGAAGAGACTATTCGATTTGAGAATGGTGTGTGCAGGGATCTCCATGTAATGAAGTGGCTGCAGTGGAGCTTGCATACCATAAGAAATCCTCTATTTCTATCCAATTAATAAAAACGTCTCTGCAAAAAACATACATAAAGATGTACTCGATAATCATATTGAAAAGACGTTTCTATCAGTTTTATAGAAATTGATGATTAGGAAACTGAAGTAACAAGCATGATGACCAAGGTGAAAGCAAAGCATAGGGAGGGCACTGGGCTTTCCAGCCAACTGATTTGTAAAAAAAAATTAATAAAAATAAAAAAATTCACGGTTCGCGTGAGACTCGGCCAAAGGCCCAGTTTTCCGCATCCGCAGGAACGCCACCACCCTCTTGGATCAAGGCGCAGATGCAGCTCCTAAGCGGTGGGAGGTGAGTAGATCAGACCCACCACAAAGTGGTCAAAGACCGAAATCCCATTCACTGCATCCATGTTTCCCTCGTGCCAGGCCACGAGTTCCCAATTTACTGTGGGTCGCAGCACGGCTGGAAAAAATCCTTCCGCTTCCAAGCAGGACTTGAACCTGGTACCCTCTGCTTCTCAATCATGGTCTTAGACCATCCCACTATGCCTGCCTGTAAACCAATTATTAATTATCTGTAGTTGGAATTTTCAGCGTGTATCAGGCGCGTACCAGCGTACATGCCAACAGTAACTCTGACTAGCGGGGTACCAGGGTACATGCCAGCAGTCACTTGGACTGGCGAGGTACCAGCGCACATGCCAGCAGTCAGTCTGACTGGCGGGGTATCAGCGTACATGCCAGCAGTCACTCTGACTGGCGGGGTACCAGTGTACATGCCAGCAGTCACTTTGACTGGCGGAGTACTAGCGTACATGCCAGCAGTCACTCTGACTGGCGGGGTACCAGCGTACATGCCAGCAGTCACTTTGACTGGCGGGGTACCAGTGTACATGCCAGCAGTCACTCTGACTGGCGGGGTACCAGCGTACATGCCAGCAGTCACTCTGACTGGGGGGTACCAGCGTACATGCCAGCAGTCACTCTGACTGGCGAGGTACCAGCGTACATGCCAGCAGTCACTTTGACTGGCAGGGTACCAGCGTACATACCAGCAGTAACTTTTACTGGCGGGGTACCAGTGTACATGCCAGCAGTCACTCTGACTGGCGGGGTACCAGCATACATGCCAGCAGTCACTTTGACTGGCAGGGTACCAGCGTACATACCAGCAGTAACTTTTACTGGCGGGGTACCAGTGTACATGCCAGCAGTCACTCTGACTGGCGGGGTACCAGCGTACATGCCAGCAGTCACTTTGATTGGCGGAGTACTAGCGTACATGCCAGCAGTCACTTTGACTGGCGGGGTACCAGCGTACATGCCAGCAGTCACTTTGATTGGCGGAGTACTAGCGTACATGCCAGCAGTCACTCTGACTGGCGGGGTACCAGCGTACATGCCAGCAGTCACTTTGACTGGCAGGGTACCAGCGTACATGCCAGCAGTCACTCTGACTGGCGGGGTACCAGCGCACATGCCAGCAGTCACTCTGACTGGCGGGGTGCCAGCGTACATGCCAGCAGTCACTCTGACTGGCGGGGTACCAGCGTACATGCCAGCAGTCACTTTGACTTCCGGGGTACCAGCGTACATGCCAGCAGTCACTCTGACTGGTGGGGTACCAGCGTACATGCCAGCAGTCACTCTGACTGGCGGGGTACCAGCGTACATGCCAGCAGTAACTTTGACTGGCGGGGTACCAGCGTACATGCCAGCAGTCACTTTGATTGGCGGAGTACTAGCGTACATGCCAGCAGTCACTTTGACTGGCGGGGTACCAGCGTACATGCCAGCAGTCACTTTGATTGGCGGAGTACTAGCGTACATGCCAGCAGTCACTCTGACTGGCGGGGTACCAGCGTACATGCCAGCAGTCACTTTGACTGGCAGGGTACCAGCGTACATGCCAGCAGTCACTCTGACTGGCGGGGTACCAGCGCACATGCCAGCAGTCACTCTGACTGGCGGGGTGCCAGCGTACATGCCAGCAGTCACTCTGACTGGCGGGGTACCAGCGTACATGCCAGCAGTCACTTTGACTTCCGCGGTACCAGCGTACATGCCAGCAGTCACTCTGACTGGTGGGGTACCAGCGTACATGCCAGCAGTCACTCTGACTGGCGGGGTACCAGCGTACATGCCAGCAGTCACTCTGACTGGCGAGGTACCAGCGTACATGCCAGCAGTCACTCTGACTGGCAGGGTACCAGCGTACATGTCAGCAGTCACTTTGACTGGCGGGGTACCATTGTACATGCCAGCAGTCACTTTGACTGGCGGGGTCAGAAAATTGGTGCTCGAAGGTGTCGCTAAACACGCTAAATACGGACTCCGATTGCTGTTTTTTTGTTAAAGGCTGGGTGCGCATCTGGGCACGCACGAACTGCAACCGTAACGCGTCCACGCGCCAGTTGTGAACACAGCTTAAGCTTCAATTTGTGGCCTCCTGCTTTGCTGCAATTGCGGCCGGGGTCGACGTTTTCACCAGGATTTGAGGCGGACCCTTCAGTACTCAACAAAACGCTGAACAAGAAGCGTGTTCAAATTCAGGTGATGAAACTTTGTTTTCAAGCAATGGATGCCTGCAGGTGTCAGGCGATGACGTTATACTAGCATTTATACACTAGATTATAATGAGCAGTAGCAGCAGCAGCAGAGAGATAGGGTAAGCAGTTCAGCACCTTCTTTCATTGACAAGCACTGAGCTCACGTTGTTGCTGTTTTCAGGCCTGCTACCTTCGCAGCAACATGCGCCACAGGTAGCGCATTTCAGGAATTTGAGAACACTTTGTTCTTGCAAAACTCAACTTCAGCATGCCAAATTCAAGAGATATACCAGGATTCGTATTCCTTTGTTTGCAAACAAATTCACGGTTTGCGTCAGACTCGGCTAGAGGGCGAGTTTTCCGCATCCGCATGAACGCCACCAACCCTTCAAGGATCATGGCCCAGATGCAGCTCCTAAATCGGTGGGAGGGAATGTGGGCCGGTATGACCTACAGAAAACAGATTCGCACTCTGGGCGAAATATTGCGGAACGTGAAGAATTTGTTTGATGCGGAAGAGAGCTCCAAGACCACAACGGCTTTTGTAACAATTGCGGTGGAAGGGTCATACCAATGTTTGAACACAGAAAACAGTGATTCCGACAGCCTGACTAAGGCAATCAAATCACAAACATTGCGATGTGCGAAGCGACAATTGTAATGACAAGTCGGAAGTACCTATATTTTTGTTATTCAAACTGATAGAAACGTCTTTGCAATACAAAACCCGCTCCCGATAATAAGATTTTTTAAGGGGGACATGTCCCCCAGACCCACTCTTTCTCTTCCCCTCCTTTCGGTCATACTAGGCCCTGGCGGAAAATGCTCGAAAAGGTGGCAGATTCTGCTCGAAAAGCAGTGAAATTGGCAGAACCATACAAACCTTATGGCGTGCAATTCCTCGAATTCTGCTAAATTTCTTTATCCACATACCAAACATGCATGAAACCTACCAGAAAAAGTACCGAATTCTGCCAATTTTTCTGCCGGCATTATCCGCCAACGCCTAGGTCATACAACTTTTTAGAACCTGGTGGCGCCCCAGCAAAGTGATCTGTCAGGGATTAGGACTGCCCTGAAAAGAGAACAAAATGCAAACCCCAACAGGACTGGAACCTGCGACCTTGCTTGTCATGAGCATAGCTCTAACAATCTAACCTATGGCACTGTGCAGAACCTAGAAGTGGAAAGCGCTGACAACTTTTTCACTAAAATTTCAGCTAAAAATTTTTTTCCAATTAATTCTGTTTTTCTCGTGAATGGTCACCGTTTCCGATTGGAAGAAGTCCTTTCTTTGGAATTTGACGAAATTATTCATCGACTAATTTTCTCTGCTTGTAAAGCACACGGATTGAGAGTGAGTGGATATTGCAGCAGCCGAAATACCTTCGCGTTTGAATTGCCGTTGCTGCGCTTCACTACGAACAATACAATACCATGCGGACAAATGTGAGCACACGACACGGAGTACTGTACATCAGCAGAAGCCTTTTCCAATAAATCGTTACGGGTTAGGGCTGCTGTACTACTAGAACTCAGCGCACACCTTCAGTGAAATGTTGGGGACTGAATGGGAGATGCTTACCTGACTTCAAGCCAGGGAGAAGCACCTGCTCCCGAAAGCGGCCGGATGGTTCTTGTCCGCCGACGGCTATTGTGGTAACGTTGACCCGGACGATTGGTAGTCCCACAAATCTAAACGCCACCTGCCGATTGGCAGGTAACGAACGAAAGCGCTGAACGTCCGCAACCAGATTGCGACGGAGCGTCACTCAAACTCCCTGAAAAAACAATATGAAGGGCCGCAAGCAGAACACGCATCGGCCCAGAACACCTACAGACGGCAACGAGCAAGAAAAAATGATTCCGCATTCAACTGAAGCGCGGACCGTGCAGCAGTCCAAGATCCTCTCTACACGTTCGCTGCACGCTCCAGCGGCCAGAGCTCTGTGGCTTCATTCATCTGTCTGATCTGGCAGAAGATGTAGATTTACGCGTAGATTATGTACATGACTGTACAACATGACATCAGATTCTACTGCCTGCTCCACACTACAAAAGTACAGTGCTACTCGTGTACATCAACACGTACTAGTAGATCTACGAGTAGGTCTAAAATCATTGCGGGCCCATCTTTCCGCTGATACCACGCTAACTCCGAAATGAAGCCGACTGTCAACTGTGTCGCCAGAGGCGGACTACAGTAGCTGTTCAAGTGTCATCAACAGTAGCTGTTCAACGTTGATGGGTTACTATCGCTGTCGGGTTATCTTTCGCGCTGCTACGTTCCGCTGTGTTGTGTGTCAGCCTACTGTCAGGGGTACTCGGTCGGCCCGTCATCGTCCAGTTTACATGCTTCGTGAGTTGACGATGGTGGAGGGTCGGGTTCCCCTGCCGTGATTGGTGCTGCACCGAGCTTGTTTTGTGTGAAAGTTTAAAGGGAAACTGAACGCCAAAAATAAGTATGGCTTGTCCGAAGGAGAATTGGGCACTGATTCCGATGAGCTATGTCTCGAGCCGATCAGAGAAGAGGAACCGTGTCAAATTTCATAAATAACACCTTCCATATTTGGAAATTGGGCTTGATGACGTGCGTACTGCTTAGCTGTCACCATGCTGTGCATGCTCAGCAGTGTAATTGAATGAAAGAAAACAATTACTTTGGTGTTTTGCAGCTCTATTCAGTCGTTCCCTGACGGTAACCAAATCTAGATGTAGGAATATGTTGAGCAGGAGAGTGACACATGTCTTCCCGAAGGCTGTCCAGCCTGCAGTGGTGATGAAGAAGACACGAATATCACCCCAAGATCGATTGTAGCGAATTGGAAAACTCATGGTGAATTTGCTTCCACTCCAAGGCAATGTCGAGGTATGAAGGGTGCTTGTACTGCCTTCCAAAGTGAAGCGGAGATGAACATGGCTTTGCATAGCTGTTGCTCTACGCCAACTTACCTACTCTTGCTGGTACCGTAGTGGTATATTGCAAATTTCGTGGACGAACAACTCGAGTCACTAGTGGCTAGTGACCAACACTAGCAGGGGAGATTTTCAATTTGACAAAAATTGTTCTCGTTTGAAAACTTACATTAACAGTCATTAGACTCAGTAGGTGTCTCTCTGCTGCTTCTTTCCCTTCATCGGTAGGGTTGTGCTTGAAGTCAAAATAAATAGAACATGTAGAACAAAATCTGATCATGTAATTCGAATTTCAACTTCAAAGTATGTGTACATCAAATCACAAAAATTTCAAGGTGGTGCTGTGCACTGAAAAAGACTGGGAGCTGGCAGCAATGGAGAGGGTAGAAACGAAACCAGTAAAGTAGAGTATTCAATTCATAAGGTAGAGGGAGTTGCAAACGGGAGACGAGAAGTGAGCATTTCAGTTCAAAGTAGTGTCAATAGACAGCATCGTGTTGCATATGTTGTGAATATTGTGCGAACCTAATAATTGACACAGGGTAGTGATTAAGCAGAGTATTGTTAAAATACGAGGTACTTTGGGAGCAGATAGCAATCAATATCACGGCATGGTTTAGACAGGAACTCATAAATGTCAAGAAATTGATAGGCCAAAATTATAATTATTATCCCCAGAGTAGTATAATTATTATGGTGTTCTCCTGTGTTTACATGCAGAGCCTTGACGTTGCTGGACGAGCGACAATATAAATTACATAAACTTGTAGCTCATAATGTGGGATGACTGCCGTATTTCATTGCCAACACAAACCCATCCTGTGTCAGTGCAGCCATCCAGCAACTTGTACTCCCCGGACCAGATGCCGCTGCAGCTGAACACCATGCCGATGGAAAGCCAGGAGTTGATGGCGAAGCATTCTGCTCTGCACAGTACAAGGCAAAGAACAATAATGAATTATAACGCATTGTAATCCTTCCCACACGTCTTTGTAAAAACAAACAAGCAGTGCCATTATCACAACACTTGATCAAGCCATATTGATGGAGCTATTTTCCATTGTGCTGGCCCAGCATCTGCACCAGGAAGACCATGTACATTTACAAGTATCTTGTGTGTGTGTTTCTGCGTGTGTGTGTGTTTGTATCCGTCTGTGCACACGTCTGTGTGTGTGTGGGGGGGTGGGGGGGGGTAGACGCATATGTGTATGGGTAGGAGTGTGGGGGGGGGGGGTACATGCACATGTGTATGGATGTGCGCGCTGCATGCATGTGTCTGTGGGATGGGGTGGGGGTGCACGCACATGTGTACATGTGTGTATGTGTTCGTTGAACATAGAGAGTCCTCCTGATTCCATAAACTTTGTGATCATTGTGATTTCATGTGCTTTGAAGTTGAAATTCGCAATACATATACTGATGCTTGATTAGATTTATGTTCCACATGTTCTATTTATTGTATTTTACTTCAAGCACTTGTACTATTCAAGCACAACCCTACCAATGAAGGGAAAGAAGCAGCAGAGAGACACCTACTGAGTCTAATGACTGCCACTGTCAGTTCTCAAACAAAAACAATTTTTGTCAAATTGAAAAATCTCACCTGTTAGTGTTGCTCACTAGCCACTAGTGACTAGAGTTGTTCGTCCACGAAATTTGCAATAATGTAGCACTACGGTACCACCAAGAGTAGGTAAGTTGGCATAGAACAACAGCTATGCAAAGCCATGTTCATCTCCTCTTCACTTTGGAAGGCAGTACAAGCACCCTTCATACCTCGACATTGCCTTGGAGTGGAAGCAAATTCACCATGAGTTTTCCAATTCGCTACAATCGATCTCGGAGTGATGATCGTGTCTTCTTCATCACCACTGCAGCCTGGACAGCCTTCGGGAAGACATGTGTCACTCTCCTGCTCAACAGATTCCTACATCTAGATTTGGTTCCCGTCAGGAAACGAAATAGAGCTGCAAAACACCAAAGTAATTGTTTTCTTCCATTCAATTACACTGCTGAGCATGCACAGCATGGTGACAGCTAAGCAATTCTCACGTCATCAAGCCCAATTTCCGAATATGGAAGGTGTTATTTTTGAAATTTGACACGGTTCCTCTTCTCTGATCGGCTCGAGACATAGCTCATCGGAGTCAGTGCCCAATTCCCCTTTAGATAAACCATACTTCTTTTTGGCGTTCAGTTTCCCTTTGAAAAATAAATAAATTTGACGGGTTCGGGTACCGGGCCGGTCAAGAACAATGAGTGGTACAACTTCCTGGTCAAGAACCACCTTCCGCTTCCGTGGGACGCCACCACCCATGACCAGGCGTCAGATGAGGCTCCTAAACGGTGGGGGAGGACAGATCAGATCCACCAACCATGGGCCAAAGGCCTAAATCCCATTTGCCACATCCATGATTTACTCATGCCGGGCCACGAGTTCCCAATAAACTGTGGGTCGCAGCACGGTTGGAAAAATCCTTCCGCTTCCTAGCAGGACTTGAACTTGGTACTTCTCGTTCCTCAATCCTGGTCTTAGACCAACCCACTGTGCCTGCCGGGGCCTTAGCGGAAACAAAAAACGTAACTACCCTGTCCCTGCGGAAATTTGCGGAAAAACTCTCGAAAACGTGCGCAAGAAATTGCGGCAGAAAACAACAAAAAATGCGAAGAAAAGTGCGGAATGATGCAGAACTTGCCAGCAATTCGCGGAATTATTTACAGAAAATTGCGGATTTTGGGCCAAATCACAAAATTTGTTGCATCGTATATCTACTCGGGAGTAGTCCGAGTTGTACTATGCAAATACCCTACACGATCATGGAAAGCACTGCGTGAAAAGTGCGGGAAATCGCAGATTTTGCTGAAAATCGCGGGTTTGGGCGAAAATCGCGAAATTTGTTGCATCCGTGGAATCGCGATTTCCTGGCATGACAGACTACCGCAGCCGCTTTCGCGGAACACATGATTCAGCGGTCACACATACATAATTATACTAGCGCTTTCGATTACACGCATTTCGGTCAATTCTAGAATTAGTTATTGTTGATGCACAGTTCGATTACACAAAAAGTGACAAATTCCGTCGTTAGAATTGATTTTATCCAATTCCGTCAGATCCGTCAATTCTGAATAGAGGGCGGAATTTCTCTAATTCTGACGCCAGAATTGCACACTCGGTGTGTTACCGGTCTGGTCATGTGTCGTATCCGGTCGGCCCAGGGTTAGACCCCAAGGCTACGGTCGTCGACATAACTAACTCACTAAACCTTCTTCTTACAAAGCCATGCAGTGGTGGCCACTTGGAGAGAGAGTCCACCAACAGAATTACTCTTACGCACGCACGCACATATACCTAGACATACTCACACACACACACTCAGGCATTATTATACAGACACGTACACTCACACCAGCGTTCAGGTTTACTCACATCTTCAACGAAGGTAACTTAGTTCACAAGGCAAGAGCGACGAAAGCCGAAGCTTCCGCATAAAGGCGGAAGGCAAGGGAGAGAGAGAGAGACAGAGAGAGAGAGAGAGAGAGAGAGAGACAGAGAGAGAGAGAGAGAGAGAGAGAGAGAGAGAGAGAGAGAGAGAGAGAGAGAGAGAGAGAGAGAGAGAGAGAGAGAGAGAGAGAGAGAGAGAGAGAGAGAGAGAGAGAGAGAGAGAGAGAGAGAGAGAGACAGAGACAGAGAGAGAGAGAGAAACAGAGAGAAAGGTGATTGCCATAATATGTAACTACGTACAGGAGGCTGATCCCCCGTAGATCTACGAAGTATAAGACAAATAATGAACCATAGTACACCCGCATGCCGCAGTGTACCAAAACTTAGCAATAATGTGTATAAACTGTATCACAAAGAGCAGGAGCCAGCTAAGGAAAAACAGGGTATACATAATATGGAAGGCGCCAGGCTTTGTGTGAAGACATAAAATAAAGGCGACTATGAATCCGTTTATGGGAGATAGATAAATAATTAGACACCTAAATCAGGCAGACTTGTCACGTAGAGGCCTAAAAGGCGCGTGTCAATAGTATGGATACGACATATCCCCCGCTTACACGGAAAAGAACACGTCCTCGTGTTATAAGCAACTTAATAAATTAGACTAAGATTATGGCTTAAATTTTCACTAAACGAGTGCAGGTCAAATTGGAGTCCCTAGCAAAATTGTTCCAAAAATTAACTGTAATATCGAACACAACCAATCCAGTCAGTACCACTGAAGTCACTTACTCGTGCCACACAGGACTCCCAAACAGCTGGGGCGGATGGCGCCTTTCCATCACGCCAACTGGCGGAGCTCTGTCAAATACCCGAGCGGTGTCCTCCTCGTCTCGGGCGGCGGTGGTTGCCAATTGGCACCAATTAACTTCGGGCCTTGGTCAGAGGTTTTCTTTTCCAGCTCCTTAGGTAGGCGGTCGACAAAATCCTCTGACAACAATGTAGCGGCGGATCCTGTATCAATCACAGCGTTTACTGGACATCCATTCACCACTCCAGGCACCAACATGTCCGCACGCTCACTCGCATGTTCAAAGAAGACCGAACACATAGATCAGGCTATTGTTTTCTGTCGCAGTCTAAGTTCTGCAGATACTGACTTCAACCCCTGGGTTCCAGTTCCCGGGAAAATCTACAAAAGCGGATGCAAACGACCTCCCCTCTTTTACAGCACAGCCTTGAAGCTGTGGTCTTCGTTAATAATGACAACTCTCGGAGTAAGTACTCCGACAGACTGAGAATCCGCAGAAAAGGGCACTCGACTAGAGCCATTTCGTCGCAAAAGAACGGTAAAAACCGCACTCTTCTGCTCTGCTCTTAATCCCCTGGGTGGTTTCACTGACAATTTCCCAGGACATGGGGCATACTCCTCCAGCTCATAAAGTTCCAATGGGTCCCTCGGGATCATTGTGTTTTGAACCATATGTTGGGGGTCTCTACATTACACTCTTCTGCTCTGCTCTGAATCCCCTGGGCGGTTTCTCTGACAATTTTCCAGGGCATGGGGCATACTCCTCCAGCTCATAAAGTTCCAATGGGTCCCTCGGGATCATTGTGTTTTGAACCATTATGTTGGGAGTCTTGACGCCCAGAGCTTGGAAGATAATCCATCAGGCTTCCGGTAAATTCCGGGCATGGTCATCGCAGAATTAGAGCTATCCGATCTCTAAAGAGCGGTAATAGCATAAGCTTTATCCCAGAGGCTAATTCATAGTTTTCTTGTAAGAAAATTTGATTGAGACATACGTAATTTGCAGCGAAGAGACTATTTGATTTGAGAATGGTGTATGCAGGGAACTCCATGTAATGAAGTGGCTGCAGTGGAGCTTGCGTACCATAAGAAATCCTCTATTTCTATCGAACAAATAGAAACGTCTTTGCAAAAAACATACATAAAGGTGTACTTGATAATCATATTGAAAAAACGTTTCTATCAGTTTTATAGAAATTGATGATTAGAAACTGAAGTCACAAGCATGATGACCTAGGTGAAAGCAAAGCATAGGGAGGGCACTGGGCTTTCCAGCCAACTGATTTCTAAACCATATAATTATTATTAATTATCTGTAGTTGGAATTTTCAGCGTATATCAGGCGCGTACCAGCATACATGCCAGCAGTCACTCTGACTGGCGGGGTTTCAGCGTACATGCCAGCAGGCACTTTGACTGGCGGGGTACCAGCGTACATGCCAGCAGTCACTCTGACTGGCGGGGTACCAGCGTACATGCCAGCAGTCACTCTGACTGGCGGGGTACCAGCGTACATGCCAGCAGTCACTCTGACTGGCGGGGTGCCAGCGTACATGCCAGCAGTCACTCTGACTGGCGGGGTACCAGCGTACATGCCAGCAGTCACTCTGACTGGCGGGGTACCAGCGTACATGCCAGCAGTCACTCTGACTGGCGGGGTATCAGCGTACACGCCAGCAGTCACTCTGACTGGCGGGGTACCAGCATACATGCCAGCAGTCACTCTGACTGGCGGGGTACCAGCGTACATGCCAGCAGTCACTCTGACTAGCGGGGTACCAGCATACATGCCAGCAGTCACTCTGACTGCCGGGGTACCAGCGTACATGCCAGCAGTCACTTTGACTGGCGGGGTACCAGCGTACATGCCAGCAGTCACTCTGACTGGCAGGGTACCAGCGTACATGCCAGCAGCCACTTTGACTAGCGGGGTACCAGCGTACATGCCAGCAGTCACTCTGACTGGCGGGGTACCAGCGTACATGCCAGCAGTCACTTTGACTGGCGGGGTACCAGCGTACATGCCAGTCACTCTGACTGGCGGGGTACCAGCGTACATGCCAGCAGTCACTCTGACTGGCGGGGTACCAGCGTACATGCCAGCAGCCACTTTGACTAGCGGGGTACCAGCGTACATGCCAGCAGTCACTCTGACTGGAAGGGTACCAGCGTACATGCCAGCAGTCCCTTTGACTGGCAGGGTACCAGCGTACACGCCAGCAGTCACTTTGACTGGCGGGGTCCAAACATTGGTACTCGAAGGTGTCGCTAAACACGCTAAATACGACTCGGATTGCTGTTTTTTGTGAAAGGCTTAGTGCGCATCTGAGCACGCATGAACTGCAAGCGTATCGCGTCCACGTGCCAGTTGTGAACACAGCTTAAGCTTCAATTTGTGGCCTCCTGCTTTGCTGCAATTGCGGCTGGGGTCGACGTCTTCACCAGGATTTGAGGCGGACCCTTCAGTACTCAACAAAACGCTGAACAAGAAGCGTGTTCAAATTCAGGTGATGAAACTTTGTTTTCAAGCAATGGATGGCTGCAGGTGTCAGGCGATGACGTCATACTAGCATTTCTACACTAGATTATAAAGAGCAGTAGCAGTAGCAGCAGCAGAGAGATAGAGTAAGCAGTTCAGCACCTTCTTTCATTGACAAGCACTGCGCTCATGTTGTTGCTGTTTTCACGCCTGCTACCTTCGCAGCAACATGCGCCACAGGTAGCGCATTTCAGGAATTTGAGAACACTTTGTTCTTGCAAAACTCAACTTCAGCATGCCAAATTCAAGAGATATACCAGGATTCGAATCCCTTTGTTTGCAAAAAATCACGGTTTGCGTCAGACTCGGCTAGAGGCGAGGTTTTCCGCATCCGCATGAACGCCACCAACCCTTCAAGGATCAAGGCGCATATGCAGCTCCTAAAGCGGTGGGAGGGAATGTGGGCCGATATGAACTACAGAAAAAAGATTCGCACTCTGGGCGAAATATTGCGGAACGCGAAGAATTTGTTTGATGCGGAAGAGAGCTCCAAGACCACAACGGCTTTCGTAACAATTGCGTGGGAAGGGTCATACCAATGTTCGAACACAGAAATCAGTGATTTCGACAGGCTGACTAAGACAATCAAGTCACAAACATTGCGAAGTGCGAAGCGACAATTGTAATGACAAGTCGGAAGTACCTATATTTTTGTTATTCAAACTGATAGAAACGTCTTTGCAATACAAAACCCGCTCCCGATAATAACATTTTTTAAGGGGGACATGTCCCCCAGACCCCCTCTTCCTCTTCGCCTCCTTTCGGTCATACAACATTTTAGAAACTGGTGGCGCCCCAACAAAGTGATCTGTCAGGGACTAGGACTGCCCTGAAAAGAGAACAAAATGCAAACCCCAACAGGACTGGAACCTGCGACCTTGCTTGTCATGAGCAAAGCTCTAACAATCTAAGCTATGGCACTGTGCAGAACCTAGAAAGCGCTGACAACGTTTTCACTAAAATTTCAGCTAAAATAACTATCCAATCAATTTTGTTTTTCTCGTGAATGGTCACCGTTTCCGGTTGAAAGAAGTCCTTTCTTTGGAATTTGACGAAATTATTCATCGACTAATTTTCTTTGCTTGTAAAACACAAGGATTGAGAGTGAGTGGATATTGCAGCAGCCGAAATACCTTCGCGTTTGAATTGCCGTTGCTGCGCTTCACTACGAACAATACAATACCATTCGGACAAATGTGAGCACACGACACGGAGTACTGTACATCAGCAGAATCCTTTTCCAATAAATCGTTACGGGTTAGGGCTGCAGTACTACTAGAACTCAGCGCACACCTTCAGTGAAATGTTGGGGACTGAATGGGAGATGCTTACCTGACTTCAAGCCAGGGAGAAGCACCTGCTCCCGATAACGGCCGGGTGGTTCCTGTCCGGCGTCCGCTATTCTGGTAACGTTGACCCGGACGATTGGTTGTCCCACAAATCTAAACGCCACCTGCCGATTGGCAGGTAACGAACGAAAGCGCTGAACTTCCGCAACCGGATTGCGACGGAGCGTCACTCAAACTCCCAGAAAATAACAATAATGAAGGGCCGCAAGCAGAACACGCATCCGCCCAGAACACCTACGCAGGCTACGGACAGCAACGAGCAAGAAAAAAACGATTCCGCATTCAACTGACATGACACCGACGCAAGATCCTCTCTACACGTTCGCTGCACGCTCCAGCGGCCAGAGCTCTGTGGCTTCATTCATCTGTCTGATCTGTCAAAAGTTGTAGATTTACGCGTAGATTATGTACATGACTGTACAACATGACATCAGATTCTGATACTGCCTGCTCCACACTACAAAAGTACAGTGCTACTCGTGTACATCAACACGTACTAGTAGATCTACGAGTAGGTCTAAAATCATTGCGGGCACATCTTTCCGCTGATACCACGCCAACTCCGAAATGAAGCCGACTGTCGACTGTGTCGCCAGAGGCGGACTAGCTGTTCAAGTGTCATCACATGCAACAGTGATCGATGTCGCCTGTACAGTGCACTATAATTATTATTATGATTATGTAGACGCTAGGCTTGTCTGTTCACACACTTACACGTCACGTGGTACACAGCCGGGCTAGATCGTAGTAGATGCAAGGCAGGGCAGAGGAAATGAGATACTTTTTTTTACAGGCAGTAGCTACAGCCAGTTCAAGGCCAAAGGCAAATGTGTAAAAAGGCTGGCGGCATCCACAGCAGCACTCTACACAACACATCATCATCATGCAAGTACTAGTACATTTTACTCATTCATCCTGAGCTAGCCGCTCGCCATGTTTTTTAAAATTTCGGCCAGTCGGCTACTACATGTGTCGTCGTATCCGGTCGGCCCCGGGGTTGGCCCCCACGGCTGCGGTTCGACATGAACTAACTTACTAATAAACCTTCACATTACAAGGCCGTGCAGTGGTGGCCACTTGGAGAGAGAGTCCACCAACAGAATTACTCTTACGCACGCACACACATATACCTAGACATACTCTCACACACACACACACACACACACTGAGGCATATACAGACACGTACACTCAGAGCAGCGTTCAGGTTTACTCACATCTTCACAGGAGGGTACATGTAACTTAGTTCAAGAGAAGATAATGAAGAGCACAAGGCAAGAGAGATAGAGAGAAAAGGAAAGTGATGGCAATACTATCCAATTGCGGCCATGGAAGTCCATGGCTACCAGATTGCTGGTCCCGCATGCAATAGCGTATCAAACCGTAGTAAATATGTGTACAAACTGTTGCATAAAGAGCGGGAGCTAGGTGGGGAAATAACAGCGTATACCAAATAAGGAAGGCCCCAGGCCTTGCGTGAAGATATAAAATAAAGACGATTATGAACCCATTTATGGGAGATAGATAAATAATTAGACACCTAAATAAGGCAGACTTGTCACATAGAGGCCTAAAAGGCACGTGTCAATAATATGGATACGACATATCCCCCGCTTACACGGAAAAGAACGCGTCCTCGTGTTATAAGTAACGTTATAAAATAGACTAAGATTATGGCTAACAATTTAACTAAACGAGTGCAGGTCAAATAGAAGTTCTTATCAAAATCTGTTCAAAGACTAACTGTAATATCGACCACCACTAATCCAGTCAATACCACTGAAGTCACTTACTCGTGCCACACAGGACTCCCAAACAGCTGGGGCGGATGGCGGGAACGCGGAGTTCGCCTTTCCATCACGCCAACTGGCGGAGCACTGCCAAATACCCGAGCGGTGTCCTCCTCGACTCCGGCGGCGGTATCAGTGGCATCAGGCTGGTAGGACGGAGTCAGGGTAGATGCCATGGGCTGCGGTGGGTCCGACTCATCTTGCTCGTGAACCTCCTGCAGCCGACTCGGTCGATGATGGCAACTTTTCAGCCGGTTGACGTGCACTATCAGCCGACGTGCCGTGGCTCAGACAGTTTGATGCGGAAGGTGACGGCTGAGATCTTCTCCTCGACTAGGTACGGTCCGTGCCAAAGTCTAGCAATCTTGGCGGTTGTACTCGTCGGAATAGCTGGCACCAGAAGCCACACTGCGTCACCTGCTGCAAACGTCACGGCCTTAGCGTTGCGATCACGGATATGCGCTTGATAACGGTGCACGTTGCCCAGGTGTTCCCGGACCTGCGCATGAGCGTCCTCCAGGCGTCGGCGGAGAGCACTCCGAAATTCCGGCTGTGACGATACTGCGGATGCTTCTCCTGGCGGTAATCCAAATGCCAAGTCTTGAGGTAGGCATAACTCCCGACCAAAGAGTAGATAGCTTGGACTGTAGCCGGTACTAGTCTGCGGCGTCGAGCGGTATCCCATCAAGAAGGCTGGCAACTTGATGTCCCAATCTCGATGATTCCTGCAGACATAGTGCGCCAGGCCACGCTCAAGCGTCTGGTTGAATCTTTTAAGCAGACCGTCACTCTGTGGATGGTACGCAGTTGTCCTGGTCTTATCTATGCCAAGCAGAAAGCAAACACTGCGAAACAAAGAGCCATCAAAGTTTTTGCCCCGATCGGTATGCAACCGATCAGGAGCAATAGTCCACTACAACCAAAATATGGCGGTTCCCTTCCGCTGTCTCCGGTAAATTGGGGATCAAATCCGTTGCTACTCGCTCAAAAGGATACCCCGGCCAGGAAGACTGTGGTGGAGCGCCAGACCCTCTGCCTATGGGACGTTTCAACTGGCTACGGCAAGAACAACTTGCAACCCAATCTAAGACATCTTTCTTCATGCCTACCCAGTGAAATTGTTGCGTCAGTTTCTTCTGCAGGCGTGTAGAACCCGTATGTCCCCCCCCCCCCTGGTCATGATACTCTTGCACAACCAAAGAACGTAAATGTCGGGGAACTACGACTTGCAAGATAGATGGCTCACTGGGGCAGGCGTCCTCCCAACGACGGCACAACACCCCCTCATGATGAACCAGCATTTCATGATTTTTCCACAAAACACGTACCTCGGGACTGCTACCCATCATGTCCTGTGGGCAAGGCGGAGAGTCCATACCTAGCCAGGACACTACTTGGGCCAGATCTCGGTCCTTCTCCTGTTCCGTTTCCCATCTTGACCACGGCCAGTTGAAACGGCGGATGAGGGGTGTGGGGATGTTGCCAACGTCGTTATTCACGGCCCCTACGAACAGCGTCGTCGGAGCATCAGGGCGGCGTGACAGTGCATCAGCGTTAGCGTGTGATCGACCTGCCCTGTACAATATGGTGCACTCACATTCAGACACAAATTCCAGCCAGCGAGCCACAATCGCCGGTGGATGTTGAAAGTTAGCCAAATGTTCCAGAGAATGGTCGCTGTGCATATAACAAATTCAAATTTTCTACCAAGCAGGTAGCAACGGAAATGCTGCACAGCCCACACCAAGCCCAACAATGTTTTTTTTGGTGGGGGTTAGACAATGGGAAGTACCTATGTAGGGGCGTGAGCCACACCTTGATCTGGTGAGCTGCGTCGCGTTTGCTGTGGAGTGCTGTGCTGTGCAGTGGAGCTTGCGTACCATAAGAAATCCTCTATTTCTATCCAACTAATAGAAACGTCTTTGCAAAAAACATACATAAAGATGTACTTGATAATCATATTGAAAAGACGTTTCTATCAGTTTTATAGAAATTGATGACTAGGAAACTGAAGTAACAAGCATGATGACTTAGGTGACAGCAAAGCATAGGGAGGGCACTGGGCTTTCCAGCCAACTGATTTGCAAACCAATTATTAATTATCTGGATTTCCCAGAGGCTGAATCGAGTAGTTAGGGTGTATGGTGCTAGGTTTTAGGCGCTTCACTACGAACAATACAATACCATGGGGACAAATGTGAGCACACGACACGGAGTACTGTACATCAGCAGAAGCCTTTTCCAATAAATCGTTACGGGTTAGGACTGCTGTACTACTAGAACTCAGCGCAGACATTCAGTGAAACTTAGGCACTGAATGGGAGATGCTTACCTGACTTCAAGCCAGGGAGAAGCACCTGCTCCCGATAACGGCCGGGTGGTTCCTGTCCGACGTCCGCTATTCTGGTAACGTTGACCCGGACGATTAATAGTCCCACAAATCTAAACGCCAGCTGCCGATCGGCAAGTAACGAACGAAAGCGTTTCAATTCCGCAACCAGATTGCGACGGAGCGTCACTCAAACTCCCAGAAAATAACAATATGAAGGGCCGCAAGCCGAACACGCATCCGCCCAGAACACCCACACTGCCACAGACGGCAACGAGCAAAAAAAACGATTCCGCATTGAACTGAAGCGCGGACGGTGCAGCAGTCCAAGATCCTAGATCCTCTCTACACGTTCGCTGCACGCTCCAGCGGCCAGAGCTCTGTGGCTTCATTCATCTGTCTGATCTGGCAAAAGTTGTAGATTTACGCGTAGATTATGTACATGACTGGACAACATGATATGACATCAGATTCTACTGCCTGCTCCACACTACAAAAGTACAGTGCTACTCGTGTACATCCATATGTAGGTCGATATGTAGGTCTACTACCGTCTAGATAATCATTGCGGGCCGATCTTTCTGCTGACGCTCTCACACCAACTCCGAAATGAAGCCGACAGTCTGTGTCGCCAGAGCAGAGGCGGACTAGCTGTTCAAGTGTCATCACATGCAACAGTGCTAGTATTAGTAAGCGATGTCGCCTGTACTAAAGATAGGGCTTGAAAGTGATGACGTCAAAAACGGCCAGGGAGTACTAAGTTGACATCAGATTTCTATTTTGGATCCACTAAGGTGTGACTTTGCTATTGCCTCAGTATGTGGGTGCATAGCAACCCACTAATGTCGTATGCAGGGTGACTTTTACTTCGCCACCAGTTGTAACCCCGCCCCCAGTAGCCAAATCAGTCAGTTTCACTGGTTACATCACCTTGCTGAGAGTAGGACGGCTTGAAATGTGCTTGGACCCATACAAAAACTGGATCCAAGTGGATCCAATTTTTGAATTTTTGAAATTGTTGCTATGCTGTTACTGTTAGGTCCCGGTTTCGCTCAGTCAGCAGAGCACGAGGGTACAGTAATGGATAATGGTTATCATACAGAATTGCACACTTATTCAGAGAGAGAGAAAGAGTTCTCAGGTAATACACTGTAGTCTAGCATGAAACTAATTCCGTACTAGTCCGTAGGAAACTAGAAAGGCAGCAGCTTTTATAGCGAAGGTAGAGAACTAAGGTTGGTAAGACAAGGATTACGAAATCATCCTTCTACAAGTTCTAGAATAGTGGAGAAGGCAAACCTAGATCATCATTGCTATACAGGTAGATGAAGTGAGCATTGCGTAACATAAACATAATGACTAAGCGAGGTATTCTAGAAGGTGAGATATGCAATTTAGTCAGCAGCATTACTCATCAGGCATATTACTGTAAGGTATGGAACATTCCGGAATCAACGACGTGATTGACTAACTAAAAGGAAGTGGTCGAAGTACTAGTTCTAGAAGTGCTGACAACAAGGTTACAAGCATGGGAGATCTAATTATAGCTTATGACGAGGCTTACATTTACGTGCATGTACTACAGTACTAGTAGTCGCAATCAAGTCATGTACATGTCATAATGTATGCATTTCTACCCTAACATTACGTAGCACTTTCAAGCCCTATTATGTAGACCATACAATAGGGCTTGAAAGTGATGACGTCAAAACGGCCTGGGAGTAGTAAATTGACATCAGATTTCTATTTTGGATCCTCTAAGGTGTGACTTTGCTATTGCCTCAGTATGTTGGTGCATAGCAACCCACTCATGTCGTATGCAGGTGCAACTTTTACTTCGCCACCAGTTGTCACCCCGCCCCCACTAGCCAAATCAGTCAGTTTCACTGGCAACATTACCTTGCTGTGAGTGAGACCGCTTGAAATGTGCTTGGATCCATACAAAACTGGATCCAGGTGGATCCAGTCAGTTTCGAATTTTTCAAATTGTTGCTATGCCATTGCTATGGAGTGACGTAGCACTTTCAAGCCCTATAGGCCTGTTTGTTCACCCACGTACACGTCACGTGGTAAACAGCCGGGCTAGATCGTAGTAGACGCAAAGCAGGGCAGAGGAAATGAGATCCTTTTTTCAGGCAGTAGCTACAGCCAGTTGAAGGCCAACGGCAAAGGCGTAAAAAGGCTGGCGGCATCTACAGCAGCACTCTACACAACACATCATCATCAGGCAGGGACTGTCGTGGACATGGAAATGCGGTCGCACGTCTAGCGGCCCCAGGGCGCTGGCTATGCAGCCATGGCATGCATTATTACGCGCTACTGCTGGTCGCATCGTATCAACATGTGCGCTGCATGCAACGACGACGTTCTGTACGCGCTGAGGGCGCCGGCCCTGGTCCATCGACTGGATTTCCATGTCCGCGACAGTACATTGTAGTCATTCATCCTGAGCCACTCGGTTTTTTTTAATTTCGTCCAGTCCGGCCCAGTCGGCTACATAATTGTCTTGGGGGTTAGACAATGGGAAGTAGCCATGTAGGGGCGTGAGCCCGCCTTTCGCCACCGGAAGAGGACCCACACCTTGCTCTGGTGAGCTGCGTCGCGTTTTGATCATGCTGACTGAGGCTACTCCTTTTCACAGTTCGGCCTCCACTAAGGCCGCGGTCACACATGAAAAGTTTGCACCGCTTTTAAAGGGGCACTCCGGCTTCATTTTCGACGCCGAGTTTTCGATGCCAAGACGAAGGTAGGTGAAAGAGAAGACCCCTCGAACAAGAACGAGTCTCCAGAAGCGATCGAGTCGAGCAGGAAGACGACTTTTGAATTTCGGCCGAGCGAGCGCTGATGACGTAATGAGGGATTAGCTTGCCAGTGGAAATGCATCTGCGCACATACATTTCACATACTTTTTGGCCAATTTTCAATCGAAGAAGAGGTTGTTTGCTATGTTCTCCCAACGCCGTGAGCGATCCCGTCTTCTATACCCTTCCAGGTACCCTGAAGGTCCTCCAGAGGAGAATTTTTCCCCATCAAAGCGTTGTTGATCCGCTAAATTCGTCTCGAGACATATTCACCCAGTGCAGTGCTGATAAATGTAGAATGTTGAATCTGTGATAATTGTCGACGATGGAGAGAGAGGCTGATAGCCGCTGTCGCAGGGAGAGTGAAGCTGCTGGAAGTAACAACGGGGAGCCCGTTTGTATCACCTGAACAACCAGACTTCAAAGCAGCTTGACCAAATCGGAGGGTGCCTCGTTGCTTATCGTGAATATTACACCGACATGAATTAGTACAAGTATACTGGTGAGTTTTTATCTTGTTTTGTTCGTATGCTAGTACCCTGGCCTGGAGTTCTCGTTAGCAAATTCCTATTCCCTGGCGTTTTCTAAACATTCCGTGTAGGACTGAATACGTGATCAAGTATTCCGATTTGGGTAGACGTGGAATTTGGACATGTATTTTATAAAACAAAAATTCTAAATAGAGCGTTTGTAGAGAAATGGTTGCCCAAATACAACAAAATTTATTCTGCAGTTCTACAACTTGTACTGAAATCCAGTCAAAGTAAACATGATTCTTCATGACAGTTGGGGTCAATGAAATCTGATCCAGGCATAACGAATGGTGACGCCTGCCACCCCGGGAACGAATGCCCATTTGGTGGGGATACCAAAGTACTCGAAAGTAGTGCGTGCTTCAATGTGGCATGGAAGTTTTATCTGATCTCTGGTCAATGCAACATACGATAGCCATCATGAATTGCAGGCCTCGAACGCAACTAAGACCAGAATTGGCAGTTCCCTAAGTTAGATGCTTTATAATTCCATGGCCCTAGCTGTAGTTATAGAGGGTCACGTTTTTGCACATTATTCTTATAGGCGATAGGTTTATACTGATGGCCACAAACAACGGCAGTTCAAACTTCACTGATGTGTTCATGAGGTGAGAGATTTCTCTCCACTATTTCTGTTGTGCACACAGGTCTGTCCAATATGCATTGACCGTATTGGGTATGGTACCTGCTCTGAGAAGGGAATCGCTGGAGCCACAGTCCAACTATACAGGCTTTCAAGAAACAGAGAGGAGACATCTTTGCAAGCTGATACCTGATGTGTACCGACAGAATTCTCACGAGATACCTTACAGACTACGCCTGGTGTATACTTCATAGTACTCCTTCGACTACTGTCTACTTGTAGAATCAAGTCAACTGAAACAAGTTCAAACAACTCTGGCTTCAAACGAACCGTCGATTAGACAAACCGAAAACATTCTCTCGTATACTAGAGCACTCTGACAACTCACGACCTATTCCTAACGATTGCCACCGCTTATAAATATGTAGAGTACTAATTGGAATGTGCTCACAATCTCAACAATTCACTGAATTCAGTGCTATAATTATTTGAACTATGTGTTCCTTCCATAAATGTTGTATCCACATTATAATCCACAGTGCTGCAAAGTTTCAGAGTTCTCAGGGTATCAAACAAAATTATTTCAAATACAGTGATTGTTCGTGGACATTATAGCGTAACTTCTAGTTCCCTGGTCCTTTTCTTCTCTAGCTGCCGGCGAGTCCAACAGTGAAATTAATAGTTCAAACAATAGGAGGACAGAGGAAGTGTTTTTACTCAGAGTTTTACGCACTCAGCGATCATCAGAAAACAGTAAAATTGTTAGTTCATATTTATGTGGGGGGGGGGGGGTGAACATATTTCTATATAAGGGCCCTGCAACTGTAATACCACAGTACAGTAGATAGCAAATATGTAGAAAACAGAAATGCATGTTCCCATCATTGTACATGGACGGGCGCAGCAGGCCGAAGCTATCAGCCAGAACAGGATTTACAATCGCCTAGAGATACTTGAGCTATTCCAGTATTCTCCGTGAGCTGTCCCATTCCACAATGGTTCATGCCACCATTATTTCTGGTAGTATCCATGTGCATAATTCCAAGACCATCTCGGATTCTTCAGCAATTTGTGCCACGGCAAAAGACAACGCTGGACTCGGTCACTGGGGCTGTCAAAACTTCGCATCACAAATGAACTTCAATTTCTCATCTGGTTCAAGTATATGTACTGCCATGACTTGACCATGCTTCATCCACAGCTGGGCGAAGATTGTGGCGTTGAATTCCATAGCGCACCTTCTTGCTGCCATGCAGGAGTATGTTGAGAGAAGTGAACATCTTTTTACTAAAAAAACCGTGACTGAAGAGGATAGCATTAGCAATAGCCTTGGG